ATTGTTGAATGTGAAACTGATGATGTGCCCTGTAAACTTTCACTCAATCCACAATAAAAACCTTAAATTAAAAAAAAAAAAAAAGTTTATTTCTTAGCCTGTATAAGAAAACACATTTTGAGATGAACCCCATAGAACTGAGGCAGGAACAGGCAGGAGATATAAGCCCCTAAAACTGGAATGCCCCGGAGTGACAGGCGCTACCCCCCTGCCTAGGATCACGCCAAGCTCACAGGGAGTCACAAGACACTAATGTTCCCCAGCTGGGTCACAAGGTGTATGCAGAGGAAAGACAGGTAAAGTGGCATTTCACACATACTTTCCATGTTACTCAAAGAACTTCAAAGGCAAAGATATGTAGAAAGAACGTAATTATATTACCCATGTACCTGAAGTTCAGAAGCAAACAAGTCCTACATAATTTCCAGTGGGGATAAAGGGCACCAAACCACTAAGCCAAGAACAGAACTACATATGGAAATAGTCATAAAATATATACAGCACTTCTTTTAAATGAATTAATTTCATTCAGGGTCTTGTTTTCAGGATTTGATTATAAAACTTACCACATAAAATGATAGATTTTTTTAAAAAACACACAATAAAAAACCATGACTATAAAATATATAAATACCAGTGGACTTTCCACTGACTCCAACACTATAAATTATAACTCGAAATGTCTTTTGTTGTCCAACATCTTGCCAGAGCCTTTTCAAAGCATCAAGGCAGGTACTCTGAGCTGCAGTATTAGGCAGTGTATCTTTTCTCTCCTTCGTGTTTAGCTTTGTGATACTTCAGATAGTCATTGTACAGCTCTTTAAAGACGTCTCTTAGTCCTGGCTGCAATGCGACTCTCAAGAATTGGATGTCCCGTTCACGACAGAGGTCCAGAATGAGATAAATACCCTCCTGGAGAAGGTCTTTCACAGCTGGATACAAGGTCACCTGAGAGAGAAACGCACACCTTGGTAAGGACAAATTAGGGCAAGAAATTATACCTACAATATATCCAACCTATAATGGCCTTGGAAGAACTGACAAGTAATTTCAACTTCAGCATACAAACTGAGAAAAGAAGAAACATTCGTTCAAAGCTGACATTTAATTTTGTGCACACCATAAATAATTGAATATGTTTTTTTGTGTTTTTTGTAAAGTTTCTATTGGGGCGAAATGCAAGCTAAATCAACGAAACAAGAACCTGGAATAAAACTGGAAGAAATCTACAGGGGCGACTTTGTTCATCATTAAACGATGCTCACATGTTTACCGGTGGCATTTTAACAACTGGATTTGCCTTGACATCTTGTGACAGTCACCTGTACATTATGCAACTGTATTCCCCGCTGTCAATTAGCTGGGAAGTTTCATTAACTTTGGAACGATGGCAACAGTGTTTAGTACATTGCAACCTCCATCTCTTCCCAGAACAAGGCAGACACACAGGCAAGCTCAAAAGCTCTCAAAACATCATCAATAAGCCTTTATTAGTAATTGTTGTTGTTTAAGTGCCATTGAGTCGATTCCGACCCATGGCAACCCTGTATAGGGTTTCCGAGAAGCAATTAGACCACAGCATGTTCCCCAACATTAGAAGTGATGAAGAACTGTCAAGAACATCACAAGGCACCCTGAATCCTTAGCTGCCTCACAATTGTTGAACTGTGTGTAAGGATGCATTTCTTCCCTGAATTTCTGGGTTCGCTAAAATCTGGGGCAAAACTCAAAGACTGGTAAGCTTCAATTTGGCTGTATCTGATCCTGTGCCCCAACTTCCGTATCAAGAGATTCAGACTAATCTTGAGCCAAAAAAAGTCAAAAGAGTATGTTCTACTCCCATTTACCACATCAATAAAATGAGGGTTTGAAGCCTTAGGAGTTGAAACCAAAGAAAAAGTAGGAAGGTACCAATTGATAAGCTTGGAACTGGGTTGCTTCTTTATGACCTGAAAATGTAATGCCTTTCTGCAAACACACAGCTTCTAATGAAGATGTATTTCATAAACTCAGTGAAGTTTGATTCATGAAAGCAACCGTTGTGAAATATATTCCTAAAGAAGCAATTTGTTTCTGTCACTAAGATAATGTTATTCTTTCAAAGCTATGGTCCTTTGCATGTGATTGTTCAACCATTTTTGACAGGTGATCATCTTAAATTGTACTGTTATATACGGTGTCAATATTACAGGGCTGAAAGTTGACTGGCCTCTGGGACTTCACAGCAAGGCAGTGAGGAGGGGGCTAAAAACTAAAGATGCCTTTGGTTTTACAAGGAGATACATTTTTAAGCTCACTGCTCATGTATTCAGTCATTCACTCAGTTAACACTGAAGAAATTATTCTAACCCATCGGTAAGCAAAAGAGAACCAGTAGAACTGAGCTTTCAACTTTGTCTGTCTGAAAACAGGACCCATACGCTTTACAATTATATTTTGTGGAATCTCACTTACGAAAATAAAAAAATAGCCTAGGGCCTGGAGCCTGGCTTAATACTATAATAAACCGGAAGTATTAAGAACACACAATCATTTCATACCTTCATGTTTTGGATAACTTATTTATAAAACTAGAAAAACAGCCCATTTGCTGTAACTCTATGGAGTCCTGATGTGGCGCTGTGGGCTAATGCGTCAGACTGCAAAGTCGTTTGAACTGCAAGGTCGGTGGCTCAAACTCACCAGCTGCTCCTTGGAAACCCTATACAGGGTCACTATGGGTCGGAATCTACCCAATGGCATTTAACAACAACACAGAAACAGCTGTGAGTCTGATGTGGAGATAAGAGACAAGAACAACTGTAATTTCAGTGCCGACAAATGAATGCATGAAAAGCACATGGCAACTGGGTGTGTATATTCCTGACAAATCCTGCTCTACAAAGGTATTGGCTGCAACAACAAATAGATTCCCTGCCACCAATACCTCCTCCAAAAAAATGTGAGGGAAATGCAAAGGACATTTATTCTGCTGTACTTGCCATATAGCATTGAGTTCAACTTATAAATGTCCTCAGGCTTACACATACCACAAAGCTGCTCTAGCGAGATCCATGCCACAACATTAGCCATAAACTAACCATATCCCTAAACTTAACTCTAGGCCTAGTTCTACACCTAAACATAACCATTATTCAAACCTAACCTAAACCCAGCTGGTGGTGGTGGTGGTGGCAATGTACCATGGAGTCGGTTCTGACTCATAGCGACCCTGTACAGAGTTTCTAGAGCTGTAAATCTATATGGGAGCAGAAAGCCTCATATTTCCCCGCAGAATGGCTGGTAGTTTTGAACTACTGGCCTTGAGGTTAGCAGTCTGACTCGTAACCACTATGCTACCAGAGCTCCTTACTAACAGTAATTATAACCTTATTGTAACTCTAACCCTAGACTGATCCCTAACTTTATTATAAACCTAAAATTAAATGAAGACCTAATCTTAACCCTAATACTAACCTTAACCTTATACCTAACACTTAAGCTAACAATCCACCACTCGCCTGTCAGTTTGTCATACTGTGGTGGCTTGCGTGTTCCTGTGATTTTGGAATCTAGGCCACAAGTGTTTCAGACCCAGCAGGGTCACACATGGTGGAGAGGTTTCAGAGGAGCTTCCAGAGGACGACAGACTAGGAGGAAAGAGAGACGGACTACTTTAGACTATTTGGTCACTGAAAACCTTATGAATCCCAAAGAAAACACTGTCAGCCCCAGAATACTAAATACTGGAATAAGATGAAGAATACAAGAATATTGTCAGATACAGTGCCAGAAGATGAGGCCCTCAGGTTGGAAGGCACTTAACATGCGACTGGAGAAGAGCTGCCTCCTCGAAATAGAGTCAACTGTGATAACACAAATCGAGTAAAACCCTTGAGACCTTCATTTGCTGATGGGGCACAACTCGCAATGAAGAGAACAAACATAACCTTCCATTAATAACCAAAGCATGGAATGTACGAAGTTGGAATCCAGGAAAATTGGAAATTGTCAAAACTGAACTGGAACACATAAACATTGATACCATAGGCATTAGTGAGCTGAAGTGGATTGGTATTAGCCATTTTTATTCTGACAATCATATGGTTTACTATACCAGAAATGACAAATTGAAGAAAAACAGCATCACATTCATCATCAAAAAGAAAATATCAAGATATACTGTACAACATTGTTTGTGATAGAATAATATCCATACGCCTACAAGGAAGCCCAGTTAACAGCACTATAATTCAAATGTATGCACCAACCACTAAAGCCAATAATGATGAAATTGAAGAATTCTACCAACTTCTTCAGTCTGAAATTGCTCAAACATGCAATCAAGATGTATTGATAACTACTGTCAACTGGAATACAAAGACTGGAAACAAAGAAGAAAGATCTGTAGTTGGAAAATATGACCTTGGTGATAGAAATGACGCTGGAGATCACATCATAGAGTTTCACAAAACCAATAACTTCTTCATTGCAAATACCTTTTTTAACAAAATAAAAGATGACTGAAGAGAACAAACAAGATGGCAGATAGGGTGGAAGAGCAATAAAGGAGCTCTGCCAAAAACAACACAGAATACCCGGCCAAGCAGGCTCAGGGCCTGGTCCCAGAACTCTGAACCACATACAAAGGAATATTTAGACGGTTGGAAGGCTCACAGCTGGGAGAATTTGTGGCAGAAGCAAGAAATCCATTGCTTTCTAGTCAGGGATGCTCGGCAGTTCCAAGAACCGCCATCTTGGGTGAGACCAAGCGGGGGTGGGGGAAGGATCCGAGTGGCCACAGACACCTGGCAGAACCGCTGAGATAAAGATGTGGACATTCTTTTCTTTTGGTGTCTGTTAAATGGTCCCTTGCTGTCTGCACACCTCCATTCTGGTGACTATAGGGGTGCGTGAGCTAGTGGAAACCCCAGCCCCAACCTCGGAGGGATCTATTAAGCTTGCACACAGATCTCCTTGAAATTTAAAGAGACAGTTTCCAATTAAAACCAAATGGCCACAGCCGGCCCTGAACTGTTAACAACTAGAAAAAAGGCCTGAACGGAGATTGTGGAGCAGAAAAAGCACACAAAAAAGGAAATAGGGTGAATATTAAATCCTAAGTTACGTCAAAACAACCAAGAGTGGCATCTTGAAATTTCTCAAGAAGAAGAGTGAAAAGGGAAGCCCATTTCCTGATCACATCTACCTGGAGGCAATCAGAAAGTATAAAAAATACCAAAATACACACCCATCTAAGTATTAAGGCCACAGATAACCCCTGAAGGTGCCCCCAAAACAG